CCACAGTTTCTAAGTGAACTTCAATCCATCTTAATACTCCGTCCTTCATTCCTTTTGCATCGTTGTTCAGCAAAGGAGAACGTCCAAATATAGTCGCAGAAGCCAGGATGGAAGGTCTGGTAAGGATGTAAGATTTGGGCAAACATAGATTGACGAACCTTCAAGAGAGGTGAGATTTTGGAAAACCTTGGGAGATAGGTATTTCAATTCTGTGAAGCTTTCAATTTTCATAGAAGTTGGAGAAGTTGGCAACTTCATCTCTTCCCCTGGAAAAGAGACAGCATTTGGGTATTTACTAGTCCTGAGTGTTGTAAGAGAGGTGAGTTTGGGAAAGCCTCACCATGCCAGTGAGTTGTAGATTTTGGGATATTCAACCTCAAGTGATTGTAACAAAAATCCAACTGAGGCAATTTCGAACACTTGGTGCACAGAAGCTAACAAGGATCCCAAGCTTGAAACAATTATGTCTTCAACCAACATACAAACAATTGACAATACAGAAGAAAACAATGAAGAAGAGGATTTCACACAACCAAAGTATACAAGTTTCACCCAATCTCAACCCAATTCAATCCTAATTTTGCCAATCGGTGCGAGCAAATTAATAATTTGAACCCCCCTAAATCATTTGCCGAAAATACGCCCTTTCCAAACGGTCAAAAAAGTCAAAGGATAAAGGGCATTTAGGTAATTTGAGTATGTAGGTATAATTGGTCAACGTGGATTTTGGTAATTAATCAACTAACTAAGGGTTTGTAGGTAATATGTGACTAAAGTATTTTCTCTCCTCCTTCGTCTCTCGTTCTCTTTTACCTCTTTCTTGTTGTTTTTCTCTCTTCTTCACTTCCCTCTCTCTTTAACAATTAAAGAAAACACTGCAGCCATGACGGATTGAGCAAGGATGAGCATGGGTCCGCCGTGGAAGGTCTCCGGCGAACGGCAGCCCGTCACGTCTTGACCCAAGCTCAAGCCTTCAAGCCGCAACTATGCCTCTCTTCTAACTTCAAGCCTCCACACTCGGGCATTGTGAATTTATTTGAAAAAATTACGAGATTTGAAAAAGGTAGTGTTAAGTGTTTTGTTGGCTGGTAGAGGGTGAGTGTTTGTGGTGGTTGTCGTTGTGGTGATTTATAACATAATATCATATTAAATTATATGAGTCCATTTTGTACTCTGTTTTATTTCCGTATATTCCAGTGGAGCATTAATTTCAGGAAGCTGAGTTCAGAAGAAGAGGTTAGTAAAGTGGCAGAGTTCAATTTGTCAGGAGAGAAAGCCATATTTGGACATCTATAAGGCTAGGCATTGAAGAGATAGAGCTTTGAGCTTCTACAATTATTGATAGCACTTCTGAAACAGTATTAGGAAGGCCGTCTTCCGGTAAACAAACAAGACTTGGGCATTTTTTTACCAAAAACGAAGATTACGAAGACTGTGTAGACCTTCGGGAACTGATGTAATGGTTTTACAACACAAAATCCGAAATTTTTCAAGAGCAAATGTTGAGATAATGTAACACAGTTTTGGTAGAATATTTTAGAGCTTATTTGTGTGTCTTCAACATTGGACATTGGACAGACAATGCATGCGAATAGAATTATTGGTGCTTTGTTCCTTGTAAAACCATGTGGACTACCTTTTGGTAACTCTAAATCCTTCAGTCGATTCAGAGTATCTATTATTCAACAACTTTGTTAAGGAAGGTGAAATGAATCACTTGCAGTATATTGAAAATTTTGTTCTTAATGGTTGAGCAAGATTGTAATAAAGTCTTTATTTGGCACATTGTGTGCAACAAGTTTTCTGGTGCTCTGTTTAACAGAAAAATATTTAATATCACCTGGGCATCATCATACATTCTAGACGAACTTGTGATCAAGTTTATCCAAAGTATTGTGGATATATCTTCAACAAACTCTCGTCTTTCGTTCCCTTCGCCCTGCGTTTTCTGAAAAGGACAATCATTCATATAAACTGCACAAGTAGTAAAGGATGTGAGATTAGGACCATCATAACACTAGAATAACTGGTCTCATGACAAGAAGAAATCATAACCTTTTGAAGGCTTCAATAGAATCTTCACCAACATTTGTCATAACTCTACTAAATTGCAACATTTGAACAGCAGCACCTCTTGAAAATTAACAAAGGAATAGCAGAACCTCAATAAAGAAATTTTCAAGTCCTAAACACAGGTGTTCTGAATCCCCTAAATTATCTAACTACAATGCAGTAATAGTTCTGATTACTTTTCTTACTAAGAACTCTCTATATTACACCAAAAATTCATTCTTCTAGCACATACTTATGAGCAAACCATGGTGCATTATCATTGCCTTCCACATCCGAAGGAGTTCTATGATTTATTAGAAGAAAAGCCACCTGTCCACCAAACACAAACCAATTGAATTTTTAAAGTAGAACTTTGATATGTGCTCAATGTCTAGAGTTTCGGCCAGCATTAGAAATGAAAATGTTTACCAAATTTGTAATTAAAATGAAAGTTAGAGACAACAAAAATATAGCTGTGAAAGAGAAATTATTTGGACTATTAAACAGGGCAGCCCTTTTTCGGAGCCCTTGAAGGGAGTTTTACCAATAATAGCTCATACAGAAAGATCCCAAAATTCCAACAATCAACAGCACGGCATTCCTTCACCTTGATGGTTTCAGGTGCCAGGTACTCGTGAGTTCCACAAGCGACATGGAGCGAGGTTGGTTGGCTCAGCAATCAGTCTGGCAGTGGGGTAACTGTTCCCGGTTTCATTCTTTGGTTTCTGAACTTTCTTGGATTTTCAAAAGGATCGAGAAGAAAAACAAGTTGTAGTGGGAAGACATGATGGTTTGATACACGAGGGGCTAGGTGCAGGCATGTCAAATGAATAAATTTCAGCCGAGTGTTGACGACTTACTACTGTTAGGCTGACAGCACAATGAAGGGTAAGACCAAAGTCAGAGAGCATTATATGTCCATCTTCCCATACAAGAACATTTCTGGCTTAAGGTTCCAGTAAACAATCCCAAGTATATGGAGGCATAAGAGCAAGGAGAACTTCTGCTACACAGAACCTGCATAAAGAAAGTCACAAATAAAATGATTTATTTTCAAGGAAAGATAGCTACTTTGTTTGTCTAAGTGATATAGATTAAGGATGTAGATCAGCAAGATATTCAGATTGCAATGATGTAACAACTAATGTCCCACTTCCTTGCAAAATATTCTCTAAACTCAGGCACCAAAACCTCAAAAATTGGGTTACCAAATCATGTTATAGAATTTGGATTCAGGTTTAAAAGGGTTAAGGGATACAAAAATTGTTCTATGAGCCAAAAATTGACGTACCTAAATGATTACAATGGTGGAAGGAATTAGTATCGGATTCAGCTCATTTCCTCTTCCAGAGTGTAGATGAGTTTATTATTTAATCAACGCGAGGGATGTGAACTATCTTGGACCATCTTGCTTCATTCCTTTTGCACTGTTTTTTATTAAAGGACAATTATAAATATATAGTGACAAAAGTGAGGATGGAAGGTCTGGCAAGGATCTGAGATTTGGGCAACCTGAAAGTCAAAGATTCAAGAGGTGTAAGAACTTGGAAAGTTTTGGAAGACAGGTATTTCAATTTCGGGAAGCTAACGATGCTCAGATGTATTAGAGAGATGGGAAACTTTATTTTATGATCTCTCTCTGGAAAAGATAATCCGAAATTGAGAGTCTTCTAAGAGAGGTAAGTTTGTGCCACCACACTCAGTCAGTGGCTTGTAGTACTGTGAGCAGTATCCTCCCACTCCTGCAAATCTCAAACAAATCCTCAAAAACAAAGAGTCTGCAACGATTGAAAAGACTTTGAGCAATGCTCTCCATAAACCTCACCACCTATTTTTTTATTTTCCCATCAATCTGATTGTCAGGTTCCGAAGTGAGCCATCAGTGCTAGCGAAGGCAAGGTTGTGCAGTTTTCATCATCCATCCAACCCAATCCACCATGGTGGGAGAATGATGGATCTCCATCCAAGATGAAAGTTTTGGCGCTCCATAATTCTATTGTGAGATTTTTAAGATTTTCATGAGGTTGTAAAATGTCAAGAACAATTTTCACTGCTTCATCTTGCGAGGGATTAGATGAACTCCATTCTAGTGCCAACACTTCTAGTCCTTCTGCACAATCTATCTCTGTTGTCTTGACAATCCACTGCATTCTCTAAAAGTGAAATGCAGAGCTCTCCGCAAAGAAACTTTAAGCTTTTCAAATCCTTCAAGCTAGATCCAGTACTCTACAACAATAAAATTGACAGTGTCTTCAAACATTTTAAGTTTTTCACTCCCAATGGTATCTCCCTTATTAATATTGACCCTCTAATATCAAAAAGGCATAGATTGATCAAATTCCCACGTGTGAAGGCAACTTCTCAAGACAGCAACAATTTTCAACATCAAACTTTGTAAATTGAACAGTAAACATGTTGACTCAGATAAACATTTTATCCCCGTTTCAGAAAGGTTAATGTACTTAGATGTCTTAGATCTCCAATTGAGTTGGGTAGTTCCATCACATGTAGTATGGTAAAGATAGTGCTTCAGTTTTTTGAGCTTTGGCATAAATCCAAAAAAACCGTCTTAGTAACGTAAGTTGTTTCTACCATAATGGCAAGAATATTCTCAGCAACGTCCTCAAGGACTCAACTATAGAGAGCTTCAAAATTCTTTTTTACTTCATAACGTCTAAATGTAAGAAGAATGTCGAATTCTATCAATCTTTATTGACATGAGACTGCATTCATCCTCCAATCTAAAACTTGTTTCTCTAGATATCCATTGAGCCAAACATTGACAAGGTCATGCATTATAAATTGAACCATGATACTTGACCGTTGAAATATTGACCTCGACAGTAAATCACGAAAATACTCACTACCTAAGTCTTCCATATGCTGTTTTAGATTGTTGATAAGACCTTCTGCCATCCATAATAGGATAAGTTCCTTATCCAATAAATTCATAATCCTTGGGAAAATGAACAATATAACAAAACATCATTTAAATGCGAAGGAAGATGATGGTAGCTTAGTCTCAAAACAGAGAGAATGCCATTTTCTTCAGGTAAATCCCATAATTTACTGTTCAATGCATCTTCCCACTCATCATATCTTTGCTTAGATCGTAAAAGACCCCCGAGAGTCCTGGCTGCTAAGGGTAACCCTCTGCACTTCTCAACAACTTTATCACGAATTGAATTTAAATTCTGGCCTGAAACAACAACCGTGCTCCCAGATACATGCTTCTCGAATATGCCCCAACAATCATCATTTGAAAGAACTTCCAACTTAAAATATTCACTGTGTCCCATTGTTAAAGCTACATCGATGCTGCGTGTCGTCACAATTATCCTACTTCCTGGTGCCCCAGCCATGAAGGGAGATTTAAGGGTTTCCCACAAGCCATAATCTCTGCTCCAAACATCATCTAATACAAGGAGGAATTTTTTTCCAGTTACCTTGTTTTTCAACTGAACCTGGACTTCATTTAAGTTCTGTAGACTACAAGATGATGAAGTGATTGACTCAAGAATCGCCTTGGAAATTCCCATAACATCAAAATCATCCGAAACACATGCCCATGCTTTTGGATTGAAATCCGCCACTGCCTTGTCGTTGTACACCTCCCGAGCAAGTGTTGTTTTGCCAACTCCTCCTAGGCCAACAATGGGTATTACATGAAAGCTGCCACTACTCTGTTTATTGGTTGACACCATTTTAAGTATCTCGGCTTTATCAGCATCTCTTCCGATAACCGCTGGTTCAGTTGGCACACATGTACTAGGTGGTCTTTGCCATGAAACAGTAGATGAGCCTCCAGCAATCTCTTTCAGGCCAAGATCATTCTTTTCTTCACAGAGATCTTCTAAACGGGAAGTAATCTCTTCTATCTTGGACTTCATATCAGTCTGGGAAATCAGAGCACTTGGAGTCCAAGAAGAGAAATAATCAGCAATTCTGTTTGTCGGTTGTTCCGTCATCAATTCCCGCTCTAGAACCTGAGTAGCATACTCATCCAGGATGTCCTCCACGTCATAAGCCAAGTCTTGGAGATCCTCCATCCACATTTTCACAGCCTCGTTCGTCAGTTGCTTCTCCTCGGCATCGTTGAGCACTGCCTGGATCATTAAAAACTTTCTCTTCCACTGCTTCAACTCTGAACGTATCCCATCTTCACATGGAAAGAGCGACAGCTTACGCGGCGCCAATCTGTCGAACAACACCTGAAGAAAAGCACCAAGAAAGACTTCTCCCACTGGCATGGTTTTGACTACGTAGGAAGAAATGATAAGAATGAATTAAAATTCTCATACAGAGAAGGGTGATAATCAGATGAAGAGCAACAATCAAGAAAGAGAAGGATGATAATCAGTTACTAATTTTTATGTAATTTTCTTGTAGTAATAACAGTAATCGAACTTTTTTAGGACAGTGAAATTGAACCTTTGAACCAAGTCTGGTACTAACACGACCTTACCAGTTTTCTAAATATATATTTAGAAACATTCAGGGAAAAAAAAACGATGGATTCTTATTAAGAACAGTGATAAACTATTTCACACCATTGATAATTATTAAGAACAGTGAGAGTGAAAGTAAGAGAAACTGGTTTTCCGAAGCTATGAATCCTTGAACTATTACATACACAAATGCAATAAACTATAACTCTTTAAGCATGATGATTAATTAATTCTGAAGCTACTTTAAAATTATAAAAAATAATGATTGTTTTGTTAAATTTCTCTACACTCAACTATAAAAGTGGTGGTGATATGAAGGTTGTTTTTCCTTACCTGAAATTAGTGATATGGATTCTGCAAGGAAGCAGTGTCTGCAAGATAAAGAGATGGAAATTGGTGTTTGAGTTGTTGAATTTGTGATAAGAAAATGAAAAGGAGAAATTAGGAGAATGGATTTAGAGACTCAGAAAATGAAAAGTAAAATGGATAAATGGATTCTCTTCGTAGCCGTCCATAGTGTGTTTGTTTTAGTAAATTTCCAAGCATCAGCCCAACTCATTGGACTTCTACTGGCCTATATAATCAGCCGGGCACCCTCCATGTAATCAGCCCACCCCATTAAGGATTGGGTTTGGGTAAGAACGGGTAAACCCATTGGGTTTGTAATCAGTACGGGGTGGGTAACTGTATATCCACAAATTTAATTTTTTTCAACAATTAATAATTAATACAATTATGTACATTAAATTGATAATTCAATGTAAAATTTTAAAATAGAAGGACAGCTGGATTAAATTGACATATATCTTTTTCCGATAAAAGTTTATTAATTGAATACTTACACATATCCTTATTTATATTAAAAAAATTAATCTAAAAATATATAACGCAAACCCAAACCCACCGCAATCTATATCTTAACTTTAGATAATGAAGTAAGGTGGGTAAATTTTATATGGGTTTAACTCATTAATTGGGTTAGGTTTTAACCCATCCCAATTGCTATTCCCACCTCAGACACGGGTAATACTACACTCACAAACTTTTATCATTAACTTTCTTTTACAAATACGATATGACAATTTGTAATTGATCAGCTCGTAATTAGTCTTGCCTGTCTAACAATGAGTCCCGTTTGACTAATTGTAAGTTGATACGTCGCGTTTGTGAGAGAAAGTTAATGAGAAGAGTTTGTCAACCTATTTTTATTACCTCAAACACAGATTTAAGTTGTTGCCTAAAAGCGGAGGGACCTAAAAATTAAACCAAAAAGTTTGGAGATATTAAAACTTGCCTGGAAACGTGTGAGATCAGCTCCAGGTCATACATTATTAAAAAGACTTAAAATGCGTTGTAGAAGATTGGGAGCTTTGTAATCACCGTTTGATTCTCTTTCAAATATTAATGGGGCCTTGTAAGAATTATCTTTTTCTCACCGTACCATATTTCAGCTTTCAGTAAGCACATTTTGTAGCTAAAATTATGTTTAAAATTGGGTTAATGAAATAATACCCTTGGGAATGATTGAATAACAAAAATTTCTATGCTGCAAGTAAATTAACAAATGTCTAATCGAGAGCAAAGCATGTATAAAAACAAAGTTTCATTTAAATACTTTAACGCGTTGTATGGGTCAGAAATTGTAATGAGTCTTATCATGCCCAATACGAAACATTTACTATGTGGCCCAATGTTTTAGCCCAATTCCAGTTGGGCCTACGATAAGATCCACATTACGAGTCAACCATTGCACCAACTCGGCTAATCACGAATTGGATCATTCAACTACCAAGGTCATACCTCGAATTAGACCTCATCATTAGCCCACTTAGGCTCAGGCCCATTAGCCAATGGTCACTCCAAAGAGCCCAAAGTTCCCATTAAACCCTAAATTTGCCTACATCCTATTTCCTAATTCAGTTAAGATCCTATGAATTAGGACTCTTACTCGGCAAGTTAATCACCTAATCATCTTATGTGTTATTGTTTTTTCACTCAACTCACAAAAACAATGACCAAAGACAATATGTAGAAAAGTTACAAAATGAGAGATAGTACTGTTCTTAACAAAAAAATTGGCATATTTGAGCCACAATGCACTAGAAACCAACATTCCGAGACCTCTTCTGCAACCAAGATCCCAACATTTATGCACTCACACCCCAGGAAGAACTCCAAGAATTGGTAAAATATGATAATAGTTGTTCTAACTACACTTGTGACACATGTATAGGTTTTTGAGTCTGGTTATGCTAAGAGAAAGATGGTTAACATGTATGAAAGAGAGAAAAAACTTCAGTTCATGTCTGCTCTGTTTTCGTTCATTGAACAGGGGAATATAAACACAAAATTCTTCACTATTACAACCACCCTTACAGTGAGAACTTTTTGCAAATACAAGGCATTCTAAACAACCCTAACTAATACTAATTTACAATGACATATAATGGCCTTAATCGCCGGCGGTCATCACCTGAAAACATCACATAATACTTTCAAAAAACCAACCAAATACAGCATTGAAAGACAGCCTTTAACATACTCAAACTTGGGCCAAAAATACAAACTTGAATTGCAAACCAGTTTCCAGCAAAATATCACATACTTTAACAACATGACTTTTGGATTCGAACCCTCTAAATAACTCTAAAAATTTGTTCTCCAAGCATAGTCTCTGTTGCTTCTGCCTTTATGGGGCTAAAATCAGCTGGAGCTCCACAAAGCATAGTGTACCATTTCCTTCCAACTCTAAATTGAGCTCCTTGTTTTAACAAAAACTCGGTATCAGTTCAATGCCAAAAGAGTTCAAGCCACTGATTGAATGAAAAGACATCAGAAGAAGCAGGACATTACCTCTGCAATCACGGCTTTCTTTTTAAGTCCAATCATCAACTTATAGTTATCATCTATAAAAAGAACCCAAATTTGGTGTTCATAGGATAAATAAAAGCTCAGTATCTATGGAAATTATAAATCTCAAAAAATTGCAAAACATCAGAATTTGACTCATTGAATAATAGTTAGAAGAATCAATGGCACAAAGAAATGGTTTACTTCAGGAACAGAGTTTCAAATAGTCCACTGGCTTCCACCGAAATGAAATTTAAATAAATAACCTTAAACAAACAAAAGAAACATAAATGCAAAATGAGATGCTATTTTCAAACTGATGTGAGAACAATCAGATTCCAAGCCGAAGCATAATTTTGATGATCAACAAGTGGACCTGAAATATCACTAACAGGGAATAGAATATAATTATTGATAAGCACTTCTGAAGAGTGTGTAGGCCTTCGGGAACTGATGTAATATTTTTACTACGAAAAATCCGAAATTTCTCAAGACAAATGTTGAGATAATGTAACACAGTTTGGTAGATAGCATGATAAAAAAAGTGCATGCACAAAAATGCATGCAAATAGAATATTTTAGAGCTTTAGTTGGTGTGCTTCAACATTGGACATTGGACAGACAATGCATGCGAACAGAATTATTTGGTTCTTTGGTTCCCTGTAAAACCAAGTGGACTACCTTTTGGTAACCTCTAAAGCCCTTCAGTCGATTCAGAGTATTCTATTAGTCAACAACTTTGTTAAGGAAGGTGAAAGGAATCACTTGCAATATATTGATTTTTTGTTCTTAATGGTTGAGCAAGATTGTAATAAATGTCTTTATTTGGCAGATTGTGTGCAACAAGTTTTCTGGTGCTCTGTTTTAACAGAAAAATATTTAGTGAAGAAATTTTAAGATAACTGCCTCGATATCACCTGGGCATCATCATACACTCTAGCTTTAACAAGAACATGATCAGCTGTTAAACGAAGTAAGTGAGTCAAGTGATTGAGTTCCAAACCAGAAACTTTTCATGACCCAGTTGAGAAATCTCAAACCAAGCTTTCCGTGAACCGGTGTGAGTAAAGCTAACTTGTAGTCCATGTGGTTCAGAGACTCCCAACGGTCTATAGTGAGAAGGGTATAGATGTTGTTCTCCATTTGAGAAGCTCGAAGCTCATGATGATGGCCATTTATTTAATGGTTTGGTTTGAGGTTTGTTCTGAGAAAATGGTCTAAATTTGGGGAATTTGTGGGGGATTTGATAGATTCTTTGGTGGTTGTGGAAGCGAAAGAGGACATTAGTGAAGTGACTGCTCGTTACTTGGGTGTTACAGTCAGGCTTTTTAAAAAAATGAACAACTGGAGAAGAAGGAAAAAAAGACTGGCATTTAAAAACGGTGATTTAGTTAACGGCAAAAATGGAAATCCAATAATAGTGACTTGGAATACTGAAATTTTTTCTCGGTTGTTTGCAATAAGAAACAAAGGTATAGCAATAAGTACTCTTTTTTTTCGTTTTTTTCTCCCTTTAGAAGCAACCTCGACCATACGATGAAATTTTATTGATTAAAGAAAAGACTACACCCCGAAAAGGGACATAATGAGCCTAACTCCCTCAGGAAAAATTCTATTACAAGAAGTTAAAAAGAAAATGCAGCTGCAGGCAGTTATACAGGAATTGAAAGAAAATGTAAAATACATCAAAAATCATGTAAATCTATAATTTGTACAACCAAAATGTTCTCAAGTCTGATTCTGAAACTACTTCTAAGCATAATCTTTGTTGCGTCTCTATTCACATCTCTGGAAGAAGTGCAGAAAGTAAAAGCTTGTGGAGACAGTAGCAGAAACTTTCAACAACAATTGAAGTTGTGAATAACTCCAGATATTCATCCTTGAAGCATATTCTTCGTAGTATCATTGTGCATCAAGAAGAAGAGTGTGATATCCCACGTCGCTTGGGACAGGCTCCTAAGCTCTCAGAACGTGTTGTGTCCAAAACGGATAATATCTTGACAGTGGGGCAGGCTTTTACAAAAAGGACTTGCGGATTTTGAGTTCCTCTAAACAGTTCTGCTGCTGCTCCTCTTCCTCTCCTCCATGCCGCTAATGAAACACGAGGGGCTGATTCACATCATGGAAGACAGTGAAGCGCTTTTCTTGGTGGAGTTTCAGTGACAATAGACCAACATCGATTGATGCTACAAAGACCAAGCTCGGACAATGAATTTCGCAATATTTTCGGAAATGCATCAAGACTTCTAAAGAAAAAAAAATTACCTCAGCTGTCACAACTTCCTTATTCTCCACTCCACTCATCAGTAACATGAATTGATCATCTGAAAAGAACCCTAGTAAATAGTTATCAAAGGAAACTTGCTACTAGAAGTTTAGATACTTATGAAACAGAGGAAATAAATGTCTTTCAAGTATCTTAAGGTGCCTTATGATAGAGCTTACTAGTGCCATTGCAATGTTGACATATTGTATCCGAGAGTTGGTTGGATCCTACAAATGTGACATAATTAAAACTCCATTTGATAAACTGTGACTGTGACTAATGGCACCGTTTATGTGCAAGAATTTGACAGACCTGAAAAGAGCATAAGGATAGAATGTTGTAATTAAAGGATTGAATCTAATCGAAGATCATCCTTCCTCGTAGGGATGGTAGACGAACTTGTGATCAATGTTAATCCAAGGAATATTGTGGCTATATATCTTCAACAACTCTCGTCTTTCGTTCCCTTCGCCCTGCGTTTTCTGAAAAGGACAATCATTCATATTAAACTGCACAAGTAGTAAAGGATGTGAGATTAGGACCATCATAACACTAGAATAACTGGTCTCATGACAAGAAGAAATCATAACCTTTTGAAGTCTTCAATAGAATCTTCACCAACATTCCCATAACTCTCCGAAATTGCTACATTTCAACACCAGCACTTCTTGGAAAATTAACAAAGGAATAGCAGAAGAATAAGTCTATCCTTACAAAGAACTCTACAAAGAAACTTACAAAGTGAAGAAAAAAACAAAGGAAAAACGGAAAAAGAGAAAGAGAGAGAGAGAGAAATGATGAAGATGAAGGGTGGAGGTTAACTTTGTATGCCTCCTTTGTAGGCTTCTTTGTAAGACTAGCACTGCTGATAGCAGAAATCTTCAACAAAGAAATTTTCGAGTCATAAAAACAGTTGGTTTCTTGAATCCAACTAAACCATCTAACTACAATGCAGTAATAGTTCTGATTACTTTTCTTACTAAGAACTCTGTATATTACACCAAAAATTCATTCTTCAAGCAGAGATTTTATTGAGCAAACCATAGTGCATCATTGCCTTCCACATCCGAATTCAGTTCTATGATTTATTAGAAGAAAAGCCACCTGTCCACCAAACACAAACCAATTGAATTTTTTAAAGTAGAACTTTGATATGTGCTCAATGTCTAGAGTTTCGCCAGCATTAGAAATGAAAATGTTTACCAAATTTGTAATTAAAATTGAATGTTAGAGAAACAAAAATTATAGCTTGTGAAAGAGAAATTATTTGGACTATTAAACAGGGTAGCCCTGTTTTCAAAGCCCTTGAAGGGAGTTTTACCAAATAACAGCTCATACAGAAAGATCCCAAAATTCCACCAATCAACAGCACCGCATTACCTTCACCTTTGATGGTTTCAGCCAGGTACTCGTGAGTTCCCACAAGCGACATGGAGTGATTGTTGGTTGGCTCAGCAATCAGTTCTGGCAGTGGGGTAACTGTTCCCCGTTTCATTCTTTGGTTTCTGAACTTTCTTGGATTTTCAAAAGGATCGAGGAGAAAAACAAGTTGTAGTGGGAAGACACAATGGTTTGATACACGAGGGCTCGATGCAGGCATGTCGAATGCAATAAACCGGATTCTTTTTCAGGGTTTCAGACCCAAGTGTTGACGACTTCACTTCTGTTAGGCTGACAGCACAACGAAGGGAAAGACCAAAGTCAGAGAGCATTATATGTCCATCTTCCCTTACAAGAACATTTTCTGGCTTAAGGTTCCAGTAAACAATCCCAAGTATATGGAGGTATTACAGAGCAAGGAGAACTTCTGCTACACAGAACCTGCATAACGAAAGTCACATAATAACATGATTTATTTTCAAGGAAAGATAGGATACTTCTGTTTGTCTAAGTGATATAGATTAAGGATGTAGATCAGAAAGATATTCAGATTGCAATATATTCTCTAAACTCATGCACCAAAACCCTCCAAAATTAGAGTTACCAATTCATGTTATAGAATTTGGATTCCGGTTTAAAAGGGTTAAGGTATACACAATGTCACATGCCAGGCCATTAAAACAATTTTCCTATTCAATTTCTCCAATGACCATATATTGAGGAGATGAGAGGCCCATGCCCCAAAACTAACACAGATGTCAATAACTAGTATAGACATTGCAACTTTGTGACTTTATATTATGTATATAAAGAAACTTCAGTCTCCGCGGATATTATGTACATGAAAAGTTATAAAATATCAAGAGTTTGAGTTATTCCACAAATTCCTTTTGATTACCTTACAAACTTTCAAAGAATCAAATGAGGCGAAGAAGCAGTTAATTGTAGCAAGTCCTTGAGCTTCATATTCTGAAAGGAAGCTGTACTCTAGTCCCTCTGAAAAATAATTAAATCAATAAATAAGAACACTTCAAAGAAACAAAAGAGAAACAAATGAAAAAAAAAAATTAATGAATTAATTTTAAAATATTACGAGTGCAAACACATTCCATGCTGTCAAAGGTTTCTAGTGATCCATACATCGAGAATGGAGTAGCATTATGACCTATTAAAGTTAATTACTAGCAACATGAATGAAGACATTGTACTGTGGTGAGCTCTGCTGTTAGCTTCTTTCTACACTGAGCTGAAAAATGGCAGTAAAAAAGTTAGTACGGTAAGTTGCGTGAAGGATTCTTTGATAGATACTTGATGATTTTGTATTAGATGGTGTTGTAAACTAATCCTAATCTTGTAAATCTAAACACCAATTCAAGATCAAAACAAATCACAATCAGATCAAGCAATACACAACCAATTTACCGTGGTTCGCTTGTTCTATGTAGAACAAGTTACATCCACGTTGAACTCCAGAATGTGGAGTTCGCTGCACTTTGATTAATCACCACAAGCAATACAGATTACAAACGACTTCACTCTCTGTCAACAACACAAACACACATTCACCCCCGATTTCCCTTATATCAGTAAATCTGCACACTCACCAGAGTACTCACAACCTTGAAGGAATTTCTAACCCCTCAATCAAGACTCTTGACAGATTACACAAAGAAAATCAAATGGAAATGACAAACCCTAACCCAGGCTATTTTCGTGCCTTTACAGAGAGAAAACATAAGACTAAAACACGCCCTGACCCAAGACTAACAGCCCCCTTTTATATCGTTGACCTCTGAATGTGTTGGACCCGCCGGATCATGTTTAATCGAATGTCTGAGATTAACTGGAGTTTAATGAACAAAATGACAGCGTTTTTGCTTGGCTCTAAACGACGCGCAGACTTCACCATTTAACAGATGGTTATCAAACAGAGGAACCAAAATTCTTTTTAATTATCATAATATGTGATATGATAAAGCTTTACCAGTGGCATTGCAATGTTGACATAATGTTTTTGAAGTTGGTTTCTTCCTACAATTGTTACATAAAATTGTATACAATTGTGACATAACCGTATCATTTAGGTGCAAGAATTTGTCATACCTGAAAAGAGTATAAAGGCATGCCCCAGATAATGATTGAAGAAGCTTCATTCACTGATATTTCCATGACACTCCAGCAATCTAAACTGCAACATTTGAACACCAACACCTCCAAAGCTCTGTAATCTACATAGTGTATCATTACCTTCCACATCCAAATTAAGCTCCATGAATTACTAGGTAGAAGAAAAACCCAAACCTTAATATCAATCAATTCTCTCATTCATTTTAATTAGTCAGAAGTGTGACTTAAAATTGTCTTAAGAAACCATATGGTAAAGCTTACCTCTGCCATTGCAATGTTGGCATTTTGCATCCAGGTGTTAAGACTGTTCAGTTTCTCCCTGCATGAAATGACAAAATTATTAATTCGTACTCTGTTTTTGTAAAACTCTAAATTCTCTCAATAATAACAATTGTTCTATGAGCCAAAAATTGACGTACCTAAATTGATTACAATGATGGAAGGAATTAGTATCAGATTCAGCTCATTTCCTCCTCTTCCAGAGTTTAGATGAGCTCATTATTTACATAAACGCAAGGGATGTGAACTATCTTGGACCATTCTTGTCCTTCATTCCTTTTGCACTGTTTTTCTATTAAAGGACAACTATAAATATCTAGCGACAAAAGTGAGGATGGAAAATCTGGCAAGGATGTGAGATTTGGGCATTTAGCGAAAGTCAAAAATTCAAGAGATGTAAGAACTTGGAAAGTTTTGGAAGATAGGTATTTCAATTTCGGGAAGCTAACGATGCTCAGATGTATTAGAGAGATGGGAAACTTTATTTCTATGATCTCCTCCTCTGGAAAAGATAATCCCCAAATTGAGAGTCTTCTAAGAGAGGTAAGTTTGTGCCAACCACACGCAGTCAGTGGCTTGTAGATACTGAGAGGAAGTGTAAGTGATTTTAGGTTGGGGGGGAAATCTTCTGCTGTAATGGATTCGATATTAGGACATTCCAATAAGAATAGCTCTTGAAGAGATTTGAGGGTCTGCATGCGGCTAGGTAGGGCTTGTAGTTTCTCACACCCATAGATATCTACTGCTAAATCAGTGTCAGGAAACCCATCTTTTGGAAACGAAACAAGACTTGGGCACTCAGTTATACCCATATAACGTAGTTTGCAAAGAGTGTGTAAGCCATCCGGAATGGATTTAAGGTTTTCACATCCCATGATAGAAAGATTCTTAATGGGCATGTTACAGTCAAAACTCCATGCTGCCAGTGACTCTAGCTTTGGGCATGCCTGAATATGAAAAGACACAAGTCCCTTAGATAACTGTCCCAAGGTTCCGAGGCTTGAACAGCTTCGAATATGAAGCTCCGCAAGTGTTGAAGATAACTGGTCTGTCGACGATAAATGCGTTAGAGAATCGCATTCCTGTATGTTTAATTTGTAGAGAAGAGATGTGGTGGTGGTGGTGTTGTCCACGTCGTCCCTGTGTACCAGTGAATAAGAAGAAGATGGAGAAGAAGTACAAATATCTTCTCTATCATCCAAAACGCACATCAAGTTTTCACATCTATAAATAGCAAGCATATTTAGAGATGAAGGTAAACGGCCTCTCACAATGAATTTTAGAGAAAGACAGCCATCAACCTCTAAGTGCTTGAGACGTGCATTGCTGTGCTTCAACCCCTCCTGCAAGGATGTTAGGGCATCACATTTGGTGATTGTAACTCTGCTTAAGATTGAAAGTAACCCATCTGGAAACGAAACAAGATTCCGGAGCTCTTTTAAATGCAGCTCTTGAAGGGAGGTGAAGCAACTCAACTCTTGTGGTGCATTCTCTGGACAAATCTTATTTGGCCATAAATGTATGAGCTCTTCACAGCCAACAATTGACAGATGTTCTAGTTTCTGAAATCCCTCCCTTGACCAACTTCTAAACACTGGAAAGTTTGATTCTCCACCTGTACTCATGGAGTTTAGCGCCTCTGAATCAACAGGGCTACAACAAACCATGCCTTTGCATCTATTTACTTCTAATGATCTGAGCATTGGAAGGCTTGAAAATGAAACCACTAACTGCTCACACCCATTTATCACAAGATTATCCAACAACGGGAGATGATTAGGTAATCTTCAGGAGAGTTTAGTGCATTGAGAAATTGAAAGCTTTTGGAGAGAGGAATCTTTGGACATGGTCATTTTCTACCGGGTCCCAATGCTCCCACTCTTGCAAGTCTCAAAACAAAGAGTCTGCAA